TGACAAACTTCTATATGTACATCACCTTAAAATGCCTTTCTCACTGTCTGATTTTAGCTACATGTACCACAGTTTCATGACCTCTAGTGATCATGGTGTTCAGCAGCATAAATTTCTGTAGGAGGTGATGCTTTTGGCATCAAATAAAATGCTTTATGGCCATGTGATAAAAACCGCAATCATATTCTCCCCTTTCTTTCTGTTTTGATTGCAAGGCTCTGAATGCTCACTTCTGTCAACTCCAAATATGCAGGGGAACCCTGTCACTCTGAACCCTCACCACAGAATTTATTAAAACTTGGCAAAAATTTGTATCTTATCATGCTGATCACAATTATTTGATAAACCATATGGGAATCACTGGACTCATTTGTGAGTCATAAGCCCTTAAAGCTAAAATTAAGGGTGTTTTCATAGGTTGTTCTGTTGCTTTAGTAACCAATTATGCCATGAAGATAACCACAACTTGCTGACCAATGATTGAGCATTTTTGTGATGCCAATATTGTAACAACACTTCATTAAGAGTCAGGTAGTATTGTCTGTCAAAATATACCCGGGGTAGTCACTCAATAAAAATTGATATCGGAAAACCACTTGATAACTTGATAATAATCGATAAATTGAATTCAAGTGTTATCGATGACATTGGTCACTCGATAAAACTTGATACTAACATGCTTGCTAGGTTCAAAATTATCGATTTTATTGATTTTATCGGATTTATTGATCGACTTTGTTCATTAGTTTACGCTTTAAAAAAACTGTATCCATAATTTGACACTGCGTTTGATTGTGACTTTTTAATTGTGGATTTCGTAGATGTACACTACTGATTTCTTTCACTTATCCATCGTTTTTTCCTTTCACTATACTTTTTATATTATTTTGCTGTGAAGTTCATCATTTACATTGTTTTACTAGTTTATACTGAACAGTTTCAAAGTTGTTAAGTAATATGGTTTTTGCTGGAACAAACATTTCGCTAAGCTGTATTCTGGAAACTATTCAAAACACTGAAACCTAGTTGGTTCAAGTGATCTAATTGAAAGGCAGGATAAGTTTATTTAGGTAGAGCACTTTTAGTAGTTTCGTTTATGTTCCATTAGTGTTAAAAACAAAAGTGGAATTGCAATTTTTTCGACGTTCCTGATTCTTAGAACCAAAAATCATTTCCTTCAACCCAGTCCAACATTCTACCCCTGATTTCTTGAACTACCCAATTTTTGAAACCAACTCTTGTTTCCCTCTGAGGTTCGCATAATCGAGATTCCACTGTATGAATGGGATGACAGTAAATATCATTACCATTCTCTGTACATTGAATTTTTATCTTTCAGTATTGAAATACTGTTTTTTATGAGACTAAGAAAAGTCGTAGCAAATTTTATTGATAATTGTGTAAGGAAGTTGTTATTGGTGGTTTTTGCGAACTTGTTTACATTTGTTGGTTTTGTTTCAATAAATTTTAAGATAAGCTAAAATCAATAACTTCGATATTTATCGATAAAATTGATAGTACTAAGCGCAAAATCAATAATTATCGATTACTCACAACGAATCCTGTTATTGATTTTTATCAATTTTCTGTATCATTGACTAAGTTTTATCAATTTTCATTAAATCCATTTTGAAATCACTGGTTATTCTTACAATCTGATTGGCTTTCAGTAGAGCAATTTATTCACTTATCGCATTATTTTTTGCTCTAAATCTCATTTTTTTCTCAGCCAATGAGAATGGGACAGTAAAACAAAACAACCAATCAGATATCAAGGTTATTTTAAAGTAATCAATAAAATTTCAGGAAAATGAAAGGCAAAAAGCCATTGTGTGGAGAATTTTGCAACTCCTATTGCCTAAACTTTGAGTCCTAGGCCAAGGTCACAAAATTGAAGTAGGCTGTTTTCGTTCTGACTTCAGAACTGCTTGTTTCTTTGTCATGTTCGAATGAGTTTTCGTCACGACATAGTTTTGCATACTAAATGAGACGTAAAGGCGTTTTCGGTTCCGCTTTTTTTAATAAACCAGCTACTGGAACAGTACATCAAAAATCTAAAATTTAAGGCGATAAAATTGTGCGATTTGAAAATGGCTCTAATTAAGTGGCAAATGAACTTTGTGTCGTGCAATTTTGGTCTGATATTGTACTTGTGATTTCAAATCTAACTTGTGCTGCGCACTTGTTCAATTTTGAAATCACACGTATGATTTCAGACCAAATTGCACTCCACTCAGTTCAATTACCATTATTTATCAAATGTTATCGATTATCGATTTTATTGAGTGACTTCCCCGGGAAATATGGCTGCTGAAAAGTGCTGGAAACTGTTGCCAGCCACATTAAAATGTGAGGTTGTTTAAATCCCTATCACTAATAGTATCATTTATCGTATGATCTTGTGTGTTCTAGAAATGGGCATTTGTCGGGGTCACACACAGATTAAAGCGAATGACTTGAACAAGGTAACTCTGTAATTATACCACGCTGAACATGATTGTGATGATCTTAAACTAGAAAATAGAAGTCAGCTAACAGACATTGTCTGAAACACCGATATCTCGGCTTAACATTTATATAGCCAACATTCCTTAAAACCACAATCCCCTGACTTAAAGAGCGAACAGTCAATAATTACCACAATATATATAGAAAATAATGTCATCGAGAAAAAACAAAATGTAAAGTCGATTATGAAGGTGATAAATTTGAGTTTCATTTCAGGTGATACGGGCTATAATCAAATCATAACTTACCAATGTTAACCACAAATGGATGTGAAACAAAACTGTCCGACAGCTAACACCAAAACATACTTCGATTTTCTCTTCTTATCTCAGGGAAGGAAATTTGTGTAGTCCTCAATTCAATTATGGCGGACGAAGTTCTGATATTCTCTTCTCTCACTGGCTAAAACAGCGTCATGTGATAGTTTTGCAACATGTCAGCGGTGTTCAATCTGCACGTGTCTGAAAGACGAAGTCCAGGAAAGTCAAAAAGATGTGGCGGGTATTAGGAGGAAACTGGCTTTTCAAGCAAAGATCTTTGCAAGCAATCCAATGGATAAAACTATGTAGTGCGACGAGAGCTCCTCAGGATGCGTTATTCAAGAGTTCTACTCTCTTCAATTTGCATTTCCGGTGCATGTCCGCAGAATCTGATGGATATGTTGGCAAGTGGAAAACTGTGTACGAAGGGCCGCTTTCCAGATCAGTGAAACTTGTAAAGATGCTTTCTCTAACCACAGCAGCAGCAACGTTTGTTGGTACTCCATTACTGATATTCTTTGGTAAACATGCAGCTTCTCTACCTGTGAAGGTCACTTTAGTGACGTTTTTGTGCTCGATTGGAGGAGGTTCAACCCTTCTGCTTCACTTTCTCTCCTTGCCCTATGTGCATAAAATGGATTTTAATCCAGAGGAAAAAGTGTTTGCAGTAGAGACTTTGTCTTTATTCGCCTTAAGAAAAAGAACCGAGTTCTCAGTAGACGACATTACTGTCTATGTGGAGGACAAGGCTTTCTCTACTTTTGAAGCTCGTGGAGTAAAATATTTCATTCACAAGGAGCTTGTAGAGGCTCAGCAATTCTTGCACTTTATCGAAGAGTGGAAGAAAGGAGAAGCGACAGATTTTAAGAAGCCATCGTGAAAGGTTCTGCGGTTTGTCAGTGTACCAATCATTTTTCTGTAAACCAGAGAATGTAAGGAAGCTCGCGATTATCTTTCGCAATGCCAAATGATGAGACGGTTGATGTTTCCAGCAATAAATACAAAATTCCCGAGTGTTTAGTTTCTTGCAGTCTTGGGTGCGCAAACACTGAATATTTATGAGTTGGAAAATCACAGTTTTGTTTCCAGAGCCCTCGTTGATCAATAGAAGCAGAGATTCTAGTAACGATGTGAAGTATCGTACGTAAAATAGGTTTACATGTAAAAGGTGGCGTTAATACTTGAGCTGAAGTCCCTAATGGTCTATTTTACTGCATTGCTTTTTGAGTCGAAAACATCTTCACCCTAAGGAAATCCATTAAAATGACAACCCTAAAGAAATAGATGCGAAATTGGCTAACCTGATATCAATTAGAAATGGGCTTACCCCTCAAGAATTCCGTGTCAACATTTCTAGATTTCACAACCGAAAAATTCGAGTTCTTTTTGCTCATATTTTCCCTTAAAAATTCCTGTATTTCTGACCCAAGACTTTTTTGCCCCTTCCCTGGAGAATTCCCTTGTTCCTCAACAAGGGAGGGGTGGTAGTCTCCTTCGCAGCTGTTATTAGGGTCGCCATGTAACGTTGGAACGTTGCGTGACGACCCTAATAACGGCTGCAAAGGAGACTGTGTGTGTGTGCTAAATAAGTGTCCCTATTCCTCCAGGTGCCCCTGTACTAATAATCGTTCTCTTGGTTTNGGGGGGGGGGGGGGGGGGGTGGTGCATACATTAAATGCAGTAGACCAATGTGTGCCTACTGCTGTACCTCAAGTCAGTTTTTTGCATCTGTGCTGTTGTTGATAATTTCTTATTTTCTTGTGCATCTATATCATAATCTTGTGTCTTAGGTATCCCCATTATCCCACCCTTAATTTATATGCCTTCCCACAAGGACATCAAATTCCTGTATGATTTCTACAAAAATACAAAGTACGCTGTGAAAGTCCTGCACGAATCACAAAATGAATCATTTCTTGAATAACGATATTATCAGTAGCAGTGCTCACACAAGGAAAGAATTCTCTTCACTTAGTTTGACTTTGAAAATAAGAATCAAACTGCTGCCCATATGCAGAAGAAAGAAACAGGCTCTTTAACCCATTGACGCCTGTCCCGGCCATAACCAGCTGTGATGAGCATTGGCTTTTGTTCCACTTCCGACGTCATTAGGTTTGACCAAAATTGACATCACTTACACTCAAGCTCTGCAGGAGGAAACAAGCTTTCCAATAATACCCAGATCAGAAACTGAGCCTGAAATATGCATGAAAATGCTCAGAAATTTGAGTGAAAAACTTGGCGCAAAATTACCCTCAACTACACTTGGCTACTCCATGGTTAGAATTTCCCATCTTGATAATGCTTTCTCGGAAACTCTTGAACTGGAGGCAAGCCCAGAAAAAGGTCAACAACTGAAGCAAAAAGATAAGAAGGAAAGGCAAAAAAAAAAAAAAAAAAAAATTAAAGGTCACTTTCTCATTCAAAAATTCTCCAAATTTTTATTTCTGCACATGCCAGAGCAAAAATGTCATAAAATGTGATGCTAGTGGAAAGAAGTGCATGCTGCCATGTTGCAAGTTCCTTTTTGAGTTGATTGGAGCTAGTTGGGCTCATATCCAGGCTGAAAATGTCCAAAATGTCCGAAAAAATGCATTTTTGCTAAGGAGCTCCAGGTGTCTATGGGTTAATAGAGAATTGCAGATTTGCATGTTGTCGTCATTTGACTACAACTACCAGAATTCCTTTCGTTTTTTCCCTTGTTATTTAAATTTTGAATTCCCAGTGGGGCTTAAAAAACAATTGCCTTAATTAACATAAGAAACAGAAAAAGTAAAGGATTCTGGTAGTTGTGGTCAAATGATGCCATCATGCAAATCGCCTATTGGGGAAAAACAGCTGGAGGGAGACTCTGACCTTTCTTCTTCTCTTTTTCTCTTGGTTAGAGAGAAGAATATTGGCCTTACTGCTTGTAGCTCAGCAAAACTATTCTAACACTATTCCCCGTAATGTTAGAGAATAAAAATTGATATGACAGACACCTCCCCAGGCCTCCTCTACTTAAGTGTAAAGCATGTTTATCTCCAAACAAAAGCTATTTCATTCTCCATTGTTTTTCAAAAAGCAAGAAGCTCAAGAGCTGTGAACTGGGTCTGACACCTTGGCCACTATATAAAGCAAAACTGCATGAAAAGCATGGCAGATCCTGGGGGTGGGGGGGAGGGGGACTCTGATATAAAAATTTCATTGGAAATTTTCAAAACAACACTTAAGAGGTACCAAGATCCTATTTCGTGGGCGTGGCTTGAAATGTTTTCTTACCCCTAAGAGGTACCAATTCCAAAACAACATATTAACTGACAAGTTCATAATTTTATAATATTTTGTTTAAGATGATTGCTTTAAATACTTTCTGCTTGTAAAGTTATTTATCAGATATGACAAATATCTCTCACCAAAATTTTTGGCTCAATACCCTAAAAGGTACTGCCAAAGCTCCCACTGTGGACCTCATGAGGCTGAACAGCCTAAGAGCTACCAAATCCGCTTCTTTTTAACCCCTAAAAGGTATGACGGCTACCCGCTTCCTTTTGATGTGGGAGTCCTCCCCTCCTGGGGGAGGGAGGCAGATCACTGTAAAACCTTTGATAAAACAGTCACTAGAGTCAAATAAAAACTCGAAGGTTTTTAAGAGTCTGGCTGGAAGAAACAGTTTCCGAAACAAAATCATGTGTTGATCTGCATGCCTATACAGATTCTGCTTAAATTTTCTTTCAAATATTCACTTTCCAACGTAATAATTAACTCAAACACTTGAATGGGACTAAAACAAATAACTTTCACATTTATAACAAGAGAACAGTACCTGAAGAAGCTAATAATCAGGCTTGAGCTCGAAAATAACGTCAGTAAGCCTTACTGGAAAGTTATCACAGGAGTCATGCATGTTCTAATGGCCAGAAATAGTTCATTAATGTAATACCTTGAAGAGATAAGATTGCTACCGAGTTAGGAGTTGAGTTTGAGTTAAGTTTGAGTTACCGTTCTCTATATTTTTCACTAAAACAAGTGATCAATGAGCGGTCCAGATCACCTTTCACGGAAAATAAGCAGGTCATATCACATTCAGTTTGTAGGGTTAGCATGTCTTACTCCTATGCTTTGGTAAGGTCCAGCCGAAAAGAAAAAGCTGCCATTTTTTTAATGCACGCACTAATCATGCATGAAATTATGCGCAG